CGCTCTTCCTGACAACTATTTGGTAGACACTAGAAAAAAGAGAGTATTATCAGTGATAGTTTCAGATAACAGAGTTGATTCCCATGGTCTTCAACTGTGGAGACCCACAGGAGACCCCAAATAAAGAACACACTGGCTAGAGCCAATAATAAGTGCTTAGTGCCTAATGGACACGGATTCAACACTTGCTCCATGACAGAGAGGGAAAGTGCTTAATGCTTTTGCACAGAACTCTCTCACCCCCAAATAAGACAACTTCTTGAGGGAAAGAAAATTTACCATAGTTAAAACGTTTTTATATAACAACCTCTGCTGTTTATGTGAGCAGGACACCAAGGTAACGTTCTTCTTACATGTAACTGAAGATGAATTTGTAGAAAATGAACTCAGTTTACCTAGTCAATGAACCAATCAATATTAACCCATAAGTTTATTAAAAAAGGCAACATAGTATTTTCTTCGGTGACATCTGTATGATTGTGTGTGAAGTTTTATCAAGTCACAAGATACAATGTGTGATGATTCGGGTTAACCAAGGTGTAACTTCCCATATTTTCTTCTATTCCTTTGCTTTCACCATGTTCGGTCAGTGGAAAGTGAGGACATCAGAAAAGCAGAGAAAAGGCACTGGAATTTCAAAAGCCAACACCCTGGAGTTACAAGTGGTTTCTAAGAGTAAATCATGAACAGGGCTACTTGAATTCTATATAAAGATAAGATGGGAATGAGTATCCTCAGAAGATGCCTGTGAGACAGATGTCCCCACCAAGGAGTGGATCTCCTGGTCCTTACTCACCTTTCCCTCCCCACCCCGCCTCCAATATCTGTGAATTTCGAATTAACCTTAGGAGAATAGGAGAAACTTTGAAGGGATGGACTTCTTTATTGAGCTACATACATTTACTAGAATGATGAACTGTTGTGCAGTTTGGTTGGGGAAAAAAAAAGTTTCTAATACTGAGAAAAAAACAAACCTTGACAGCAGCTTTCAAAAACTGAATCCAGACTAGATTGCAAGTCCTTCTGACAAGGAGATACATCTTTTTCTTACTTTGTCAGAAAAGCACAGTGACTCCCCGAGCAACGCTGTAACCCTGGGGCTGCTCAGCACAGCCACTCATTAAAGCCGGGGAAACAGAATAGAAGGGAGGTGCCTACCAACGCCACGCGCTGGGGTCGGCCCGGAGAGGTCCCTCTCTGTGCTCCTGTCTGTGTGAACTCTGAATCTGCACCCAGTGAATCTCCTGTTTCTGGAAGTACAACCACTTAGCACATTCTATTTCAGTCATGCAACGCAGCTGCCGTTCAGTTCGTAATTCTGTCCAAACAAAAACTGATGGTTGTACAACATCAGAACGATTGCTCAGTAGGCAGGGAGTCCAGCAGGTTTACAGTGTAAATAATGATAAAGGGACTTCTGAGCAGGGATGTAAACTTAAAGAAAAGAAAAGAAATATGACTCTTACTTCCTAACATCAAGACTTTCTATTGGTCCTGTAAGATGCTCCACCAAATCTTGCAGAGTTCTCACTGCAGGGTGTATCCAACATGGAAGGAAGAATTTAGGAAGGACCTTCCTTTGGGGGTGGGGGGAACAAGGAACACAGGCAGAGACAGAGGGGGCTTTGATTTCACTCCCGCTTCTCCCTGACCTCTTACATCTACAGTCAGATGTGGCGATTCCACTATATCTGCATGTTCTTTGGCATTTCTCCCACCAAGTATGGCGTTGGCTAACCTTGAAGATTGCATGCAACCGACAGAATGTAACAGAGGGACAACGTGTAACACTCAAGGCTTCGGTTAGAGAAGTGCAAACATCATTAAGAAAGTGTGACTTTTCCTGCAACGCCTTCTGTCAGGGTAGCAGACACTGGCGTGTGCATCCCCCTAGACTCTACTCCTAATTCTGCTAAAACGGGGGTTTTAAATTAACATCTTTGGTTCTTATTTTTTTCCTATGAAATGAGAGAATTAGATGGGTCTCCAAGGTACATTTTATATTTTTTTTATTCAGAATTTTTATTCAGCATACAAGAACTACTCTCACAAGATGGATAAATCAAAGAATAATTAATTGCTTTGCAAAGAGATTCTCCATTAAGTAATTTTTAACACTGGCTTTCTTCTATCAGCAAGCTTTCCCAATTTACTTGCTATAGGACATGATTTTCAAAATTCCACTTTAAAAACAACTTCCGGGAAGCCTAGTATACTAGACAAAGTAGAAGTATGAAGATTTATGCGAAGAAAAAAATTTGCAGAAGTTATTCCATACAGGAAGTGCTAGGCCAGGAGCCTTGCACATGGAGGTTTTATTTTCTGGTTTTACTGGTGAGAAAACTGAGGTTCAGAGGTGTGGTGCCCATTCTATCTGGGGCATAGTTAATTAAATAGTGGATGTGGTCTCCTGACCATCCGACAATACAGTTAGTCACTTCTGTATCTCGTGAGACAGAATGAAGTGGGCCACGAAGTACATATTTTTGAAAGCGTAACGTAATTCAGAAGTAATGTTTACTTTATGTACCTTATATGTAGTAGGAGGGAGGAAATATGCTGATATTCACTAATATGCTTCGCTTTACTAAAATTTAATGCTGAGTTTCTTTTGTACTCATTTCATGAATACCCAAGAGGTGAGAGAGAAGGGAATTACCAAGAAAAAGGTTTTGCAATAAGATAGTGCAGGTTAGATTGCAAGTTTATCCTGTACAACCTGCAAATAAGCAGAAATGGAGAGAATCAGAAGCTGCAACTCTGTTTCCTCTCTCCCCTCACCTCCATCCTCACTTTCCATCCATCTTTCCCCAGCTTTCCTCATTTATTATAAGTCAACGCATCCTTTCTGAGCCCCTAGTATGTGCCAGGCACTGGCCTGATTTAACTTGAACAATATGATATTTGACACTCCCTAGAGAAAGACAATTTTGTTTTGTAATTTAAATGCCATCTGAGTGAATACGGTTGAAAAAAATTAATTTTTCCAAGTAGCAAGTTGATGAGGATCAGATGAAAATTCAAGAATTGAATGATTATTTAGTGGGCCTCCATTTCAGCCAGTTGGTATGTTATGCCATGCACTCTACTCCAGACATATTACTTTTTAAATAGCTACCATCTACTCATCTTCAGCTATATTAAAGGAAGAACTAAGTTGACTAGAGCAATTTCAAACCCAAAATGTCTTTTCATCCTTGCTCCACAAGACAAATTAGATTTGCAAGCATCCAGACCTCAAATCTATTTGCTCTTTAATAATTTAAGCACTGAAAGGTCAAGCAGCTCTTTTCTATTCCCCTTTATCAAAGTCCAAGTGCTAATGAAAAATGGCTGAATCCGTATTGCTGCCCAGTGGCCACACACTGCTGCCGCCTGGATGGAAATAAACACACTACTGGCATCCAGGTCAACGGTACCTGGACAGAACTTGGTGACTGATGCGTTCTTCATTTGTACAAATAACATCATCCCACTGATGATTTTCACAAGATCTTTCCAACCACAAGTGTCATCTCAAAAGTACATTTGAAAATCTCACTGTTTGAATGTTTTTCCTAAAAGGATGATTGAAAAAAGCAAATTCTCACAGATGGAAAACGAAACAGAAGTTTCTAGCTTAGTGAGCTGTATTAAAATTCTTTTATCCTTTTAATGTGTTACTCACGGCCTCTTTGTTTATCAAAGTCTCACCATTCCTAGCCTTCCTCCACCACTATTCTGGAATTTAAAATCACATAAAACTTTCCTAAGGCATTTGCAATGTGAGGGCACAATCCGTCGTGAAGATGAATCTGCCAAAAACGTGACATCACTGTATCCGAACTTTCTTATAGAATGAAATTTAACTTAAAGTTTAACTGATGCTAGGCTTTTCTGCAACAAAACTCTGAGGCTTTTAGAAGGAGAATAAGAAATCTGCATTTATATAGACTAGCCCATGAAGTAAAACCTAGAAAAGAACACCTGAACATCTTTCATGTAGTTTGTTAAACCTGAAAGTTCAAATGTGACAAAATGGTTTTGGTCTTTTCTAACTTTGAAGAGGTTAGGGGAAGCCTGCTGCAGATTTGAAACTGACTTCGAGATGTGTGTCCTAATTCATTTCCGGATTAAGCCCTTAGTCATAAGTCCATTTTCCTATCCACTTATTCTGTTTCTTATCAGCATAAAATATTGAAGGATTATCCAACCAGATAGCAGGATGGGGGCGGTGAGGAGAAAAGTACTGATCCGTTTCCTTGCTGCTTTTGCCAATCCTTTAAAGTTGTCATTTCTCATCATTTCAAGGACTTAGAATATTTTTCATTTCATGGCACTATTAGTGACTTTCAGCTTGATCTGCAATTTTTGGTAAAAACCACCTATTCTCTCTCTAGAAAAAAAGAATAGAGTCTAGTATTAATATCTTCTTGAAGATTAACTCTTTGTGGGGGGGTGAGGGAAAATGAAAGTATAAATTATATTCACGGCAGGTAAAATAAATGTGTAATTCAGGTTTATTTATGCAATAACACAGAATGTATTTTCTTCCTGTTCTTTTTTGGTCACATCCTTTCCCTAAACCTGTCAGCATTTACTGAAATGACACCCTGAAGATCCAAATGACCTGGTGCAACTGAACTACATTTTAAAAGTATTGTCACCAGTTTAAAATGAGGAAAAAGAAAGGTCAGTTCAATAAGTTCAATGTGTTTGCCATCATGACTAGGATCCACATAACACTGGGGCTGAGAGCAGCTGAACGAGCCTGTCCTGCTCATTGACTCACAAATGAGGTCCTATCACTAGTTTTCCACAAACAATGGGCCCTGGGTAACACAGTGCGCAGCATAAACTGATCCGTGGGGTCGAATATTCTATGTTGCCCACTTTAATTTCTCTTTGTCCTGATCTCTTCTAGATAGGATCGGCCATCTATTGCTGTGGCATATTTTCAGGGTACCACAAATAAAACTGATGCTCTCTCGGCCATAATTCATCATCAGAAGCTCGCCTGGCATCCCTAAGTTACTTCTGTTCTGCATGTGTGTGCACATGTGTGTGTGTATGTGTAAGCACGCCTGAGCATGTGCTCCCACACCCTGCTGCTCTGCTAGTTAGTGACAAAATCTGATATAATAAAATATTAATTATAGCTGAAAGGCTGGGCGAGAAATATGAACTCAATTACAGTTCCATATTGTGAACAAAGGGCAGGAAGGAAAAATCCTTTAGTTATGGAGGTTTGGGATAATAAAAGGACAGCTAGAACATTAGACTCGGGCTGAGAAGCTGTGTAAAAGGCCACATGTTATTAATCTTCACGACAGGCACCAAATTTCAAGTAAATTACTCCAAGATGGAACATCTTTAAGAGTGACTTCTCCTTCTAACAAGTGAAGACGTTTTCCTTTGCACATTTCATTTCAGTTACGTTTGTCATAATTTAATCATCACAATTTCATAACAAATGCATGACTATAAAAATTATAACTCAAGGTCTGCTACTATTTTTAAAGCTTGTTTTTCTTAAATAGCTCTAGGCATTTGAATAAAACGAGAAAAATCAAATACTATCAAAGCCATACTAAATATCTTCATTATTATACTCAAGTCAGAATCTTTCAGTCCCTAAAGGTAGCAGTAGTGCAGGCCAGGTGAGCCAGAATACAAATGCCACGATCCAGAAAGGGGTGCCACTGAGAGCACAGTGAACTGGGATCCCCATGCCAGGTGACTGGGTCCAGCACTGCCACCAAATCATCCCCTGACCACTAAGGTCCTTTCCAGATCTGATATTTTATAATCCCTGGTACAAGATCAGGCAAGTTGTGACATCAACAAGTGAGAAGAAAACTATTTTATTCATATTTCTTTATTTTCTCCAATACTTATCACGTATCAAGCTTTGTGCCAGGCACAAGGGAAGAAATAAAGAGGAATGAAGTCCACACTGTCCCCGTTCTCGGGGTGTTAGAAACTGGTCCCTCCAACAAAGAACTGGGACAAGATGCTGACAGAGGTTTGTACAGAGTGAAAGAGGGTACAGAGGGGGAGTGTCAGTGTCTACAGGGGACTTGAGGACACAGGGGCGCGGAGGGGGAAGCTGGGGCGAAGTGAGAGTAGCATCGACATATACACACTACTGAATGTAAAATAGCTAGCTAGTGGGAAGCAGCAGCATAGGACGGGGAAATCGGCTTGGTGCTTTGCGATGACCTAGAGGGGTGGGATAGGGAGGGTGGGAGGGAGGCTGAAGAGGGAGTGGATATGGGGACATGTGTGTGCATATGGCTGATTCACTTTGGTGTACAACAGAAACTAACATGGTACTGTGAAGCAATTATACTCCAAAAAAGATCTATTGAAAAAAAAAAAAAAATCTCTTGTGGCATCAGCTTCCCCAAGGACATCTGGCCTGGACCTAGTGCCCAAACGCTCCTACTGCCGGTGACGCCTGAAGACTGTCCTGTGCTGCCTACAGCCATCAACTTTCCCTCCAAATTAGAGATAAAGCAATGACAACAAACAAAAAGCTCATGTCTTTGGATTCCCAATGCAATCTCCATTCACTACGACCACCTGTGCTAACAAAGACCCACCCAAGTCTCAACAAGTCTCCCATCAGACTCCCGAGAGGCATGAGGATTCTGCATCAATAGGACCAAACACTGAGGGTAATGGCCGGCCTCTGGCTCAGATGCCTGCCAGGGTCCCAGCAGGACTGTGCCGAGAGTGCCCGAGTTTCCCGGAGAGGAATCCCAGGAGTGGCAGGGTTTTCCTCACAGTTTCCATACTGCCCAGCTCCTGGCAGAAGGACGCTGCAGGGCATGACAACCAGGGCCGGTTGCTGACTCCCATCCCGCTGTGATGCCCAAGGTGAGGAATAAGAACCAGGTAGATTGCTCTCTGGGGGAGGGCTCTCTGGGGGAGAGCCTGGGTCTCTGCTCCCCTCCACCTCCCCACAGGTGCCTGCCAGGCAAACTTGGAACTCCTTTTTCTGCCTTCTCTAATCACGCCGCAGGTTACAAGAGCCATCATCTCTCAATTTTAGTATTTCATTTGCTCTCCATTTTGATCATTAAGGTGAAGTCAAAATATTACAGATGTGTTGGTTGTTTTGGGGGCAGTGGTGGTAGAATTTGGCAGTGGGGGCCCCTTGCACCCTTCCCAGGCCAGTGGCCCCTGGCCCGGCCTTCTGCAGAGAAGGCCCCGAGCGAGGCCTGTGCACCTGCCCTGCAGGCCCCGGAGCATGAGACTGGAGCTCTGATCTCCTACACAGAATCCTTCGGAGGGGATTATGTTGAAGAAAAAGAAAATCTGAGACATGAGGGAAGGAAAGCGAGACAGTATATTTTCATGCACAAAAGCAAGTTTGAAATGGAGTTTGAGGGAAAGTTAAATTAAGTTTCCCAGTATAACTGCTCAAATACATCTACTCTATTATTATTATCTTCCCCTGCAATTTTTCAGGCTTCTTTTCAAGGGTTCTGGAAGAACAAACTTAGTTTCCAAAATGAATTTTCAAAGAGATGACTGACACTGTCATCCTAAAAGCAACTTTAATAAAAATGATCTTTGTTTCCTGGCAGTAAAGGAATGCAGAGTATTATTTTTTAATACAATAAAAGTCACCTAAAATCAGGTGGGGGAAGGGTGGTGGCAGTGGTAATAAGGGATTTAGTACCTTTTGTGAACACACTCTGTAGCAATTCGGCTACAATAACTCATAAAAAAACCAAGCCAATATAGTAATATAAAACAGAAGTTTTACTGTTAAATGACATTTTAGTTTTTGTGACTATGTGTACCAATGAAAAAAGGAAAAATTTTAGGTTGGAAGTCAGGTATTTACAGCTCCTTTCCTTCCTTAAACAATTTTAGCAATGGATAGAACCTTTTCAAAAGGTTCCAGAACTGCGACAAAAGAACCTCTAGCCCCAAAGGTTTAAGATGGTCTTGCAGTTTACAATTCTTCAATAAAGAAGAGGGAACAATTAAAAAAAAAAAAACTATTAATAAGCATTTCAAAAGAATTGGTATTTTCTTTCTTTATTCTCCGGAGACTATTAAACATGGTAATATGAAAAAAGAACAGACATATCAACAAAAAAAGACTGATGAATTTGATTAAAACAATCCAACACACTAAAACAAAGCTGTTTAACCCAAGTCCTTCAAGTACTCAAAATTTCGCTAGTAAACATTGAGCAGATTTTGATGGAGTTAGGCTTGACCAAAAAAAATAAAAAGGAAGTCTTGGTTCAAAAACAAAAATGAAGAAATAATGAAGAAAACCAAAGCCAAAAAACCCTGCTTCTAACTTCTAAGAATGAAGCATTAGAGATAAACCCCAAAGACTGCAAGGATCATAATCTAAAAACAAAGGCATTATATATTTTCTTAACACTGGAAGAGACAATAAAGAAAGGATATTAATTTTCAGAAAAGCCCATGTCTGCAAAGGAAGGTGTAACCACATTGGTTCCAGAGAGATTCTGCAGGGACGATGTCTGTGGTGGGGATGGCTCCTGGGAGGGGCCTTGCAGGCCATGCACTGTTCACAGGGAGAGCATGGCTGACTGTTAATCCCCTCAGACCTCAGTTCCTATATCTGCACACAGAGTGCTGGCATTTGACCAGGAACTCTGCTCTGGATGATTAGAAATCATTTCATAAAGGACCAAGCATGGGACTGCCACATTATAGCTACTCAATCCAAGTTATAACAATTCTTCATTTTTTTATTATCATAATTATTATTCCTGTCAGATCATAACTGAGGTTCAGAAATATTATACTGGGACTTAGAAACTTTCCTATGACACAGGCATAAGAAAAGAGGCTACCAAGTTATCTACAAGGTACTGCCATCTTTACAGACCAGAACAGAGTCAACAATAAATAAGAAAAGCTTTCCTATATTGAGCTGATAACGTCTGTGTTAGATGCTGTCCTGACTGCTTTGCTTACTGTCATTCACCTCCTAGCTGCCCTTTGAGGTAGATATTACTAATTGAGGAAGAAAATGAGACAGAAAAGTATCACTTGCCCGAGAATATAGGGCAAACAAGCACTAGGATTTAAACCCAGGGTCACCAAACTCCATGCTGTGGTTGGCTGCATATATGATGCTTCTGAACACCTCTGCACCTTTGTTCCCAGGAAAGAGCCCTTGTTTGTAACTACTCCAACCAGCAGTGAGTGCTTTCTCATCTCTGTGGGGTTTGGATTGGAACAGTAGGTCTCCTAAAACTGATGATTTTACGGAATGACTGCACATATTTCTTACAACCACCATAAACTTATTGTCAAAGTATGGGTTTCCTTTAGAATACAGATACTATTTTTTTTATATAAACTTATTTGTTTTTATTTATTTATTTATGGCTGCGTTGGGTCTTCGTTGCTGCACGCGGGCTTTTCTCTAGTTGTGGTGAGCAGGGGCTACTCTTCGTTACGGTGTGTGGGCTTCTCGTTGTGGTGGCTTCTCTTGCTGCGGAGCACGGGCTCTAAGCGCTCAGGCTTCAGTAGTTGTGGCGCATGGGCTTAGTTGCTCCGCGGCATGTGGGATCTTCCCAGACCAGGGCTCAAACCTGTGTCCCCTGCATTGGCAGGCGGATTCTTAACCACTGCGCCACCAGGGAAGCCCCCACAGATACTACTGAGGTAGCAGTCTACCTCAGTAGTAGTCGTAGTCTCGGTATGTTGGCATAAAAGTTAAAGGGCAGTAGTGATTGGAAATTTTAAGCATTTTACCCAAAACAAGGAATAAAGGGAATAAAAACTGAACATCAATCTAGTCAGTGTGTTTTGTTAAGCAAATCCTGATATTATAGTTTTACCCTTTCTTAGCACTTCAGTTTACAAAGAACTTTCGCCTGTATTAATCCTCATGATGATGCTGTGAAACGGACAGATCGTGGGTTAGACCCAATTTCAGAACTAAAGAAAGACTCATAGTTCACAGGATGCCCAAGGTCACACAGTAGTGTAAACAACACAGCCCAGATGCAAACCCAAGGCTTCTGGTCCATGCAATTGTTCTTTACTTTTAATTAATTACTAATTAACTTTCAGCTTTCATTACATTTTAATTTGATTTTGATGATAGTTGTTTTCAGAGAATTCTTTGTAATAATTCTCCATGGTTCCCAGTTTTTAAAAAAATATATAATTCTAATATACCTTTCAGGTATGTAGCATTATAATTCAACATCTGTATACACTACAGAGGGGCCACCATGACAAGTCCAGGTACCATCCATCGCCCCACAGTTCATGCCCCTTTGCCCATTTCTCCCACCTCCCAACCCCCTTTCCCACCTATGGGGGGGCGGGTGGAAAGCAAAGGAGAAAGGAGGGTGTCAGTGACCCTGAGAGGTGAGAAGCAGAAGTTTCAAAGGGGTCAGTATAGACGTGCAAGATTCTAGTGACGTTCCTGATGAAACCTGAACTTGTACCAATGGCTTATTTGAAACAGTCCTTCTGAATTTCTCTTCTTATTAAAAAAAAATAAGATTGATCCAAGGGTGAGGGTCGGGTATTTTTTTATGCTTCTGCACTCTATGGAAGGGTCATGGTATTTAGCTTTTATTTAGAGAGGAGAATATAAATTTTAAATGCTTCTTCTTTCTTATACATCCAACGAGTTAAAAGGAGGTTTGAGACCTTTGGCTTCTTATCTATAAAGGTTTCAGTGATAATTACTTCTCTCAAGAAAAAGATGATGTTCAATTCAATAAACATTTATTGCACACTTAATTAGGTCTGAGGTACTGAAGGATATTCAGAAACTAAATTATGAAAATCATTTTGTGATCATTTTGCATTTCCTATTACATTTACATATATTTTACATAATAATTAGCCTAGGAAAAGGCTCACTTCCAACATTAAATTCATAAATCTAATTAATACTCCTGAGTGCTGGTCAAGTTTCATTTACTATGTGTGTGGTTTTAATTGTATTTGCTGGGATGACCACTGTCTACATCTCTTTACTCTCTCTGATCCTAGGCTGTTCTAAAGGCTGCTCCTCTCCTTGGTGGACCCACACCTGCCTTCCAGCCCCTGATTGGCCACTTCCTACTTTTCCTTTGAGTTTCAGCTGAAACAGCACATCCCGATTTCCTTGTTGGG